CATTGACTAATTATATGACTTTTGGCAAATCTCTTAGCCTATTGAGGCTTCCAGTTTTTAAAATTTTATTTATTTCTTTTATGAGACACACAAGGAGGGCACCCCAAACAGCTCTCACTCCACAATCCACCCCTAGTCTCAGCTGGCCCCAATTTCAGATATGTACATGTGTACCCAGTGTGCATGGGAGGTCCCAGGACATGAACCTATGTGGGTCCAGTGGCACCACTCCTGTATCATTGCCTGGCCCTGGGCTTCCAATTTTAACCTGTAAAATAAAGAGATTGGGCTAGATAAATACTGAGGTGGACTCATGATGTCATTTTCCTCTCATAGGTCATAGGCAGATGTTGTGAACTCGTGTCTCTTTCTGCTAAGCTGGGGGAGAACTCCAGGCAGCCACTACCACTGCTGGCATTTGAAATCTGTAAACTTGTCCTGGATGTGATCATCTCCAGGGCTCTTCCCGGCTCTGAAGGTATGAATATATGTTACTTCATCATATTAAGTGGGAAGTGCACTTAGGAAAAACTACAATTAAAGAAGGAACTGTAAATACTATACTTGAAACAAAGTGAGCTTGTTTCCCCGTTTGGGGGATTTAATTCAAACGAGAAATTTCTTGGGCCAGCTAGTGGCATGGTGGTTCAGGTGGACAGATTCCATGTGGCCTACTGCACAGTTCTAGTCCTGGACCTAGTGGCTTGAGAAATACACCAGGTACATGCCTGTGTATGTGTGCCCACAGTCTTAAAAATAAAAATGGAGAAGGAATCGTTGTGTAACCATCCCCCTTGGAGGGTACTTTCTCAATTTCCTTTCTTTCTCTTTGGCAAGCACATGTGCCCACTAGCAAAGAAAAAAGAGAGAGAGAGAGATGTTTCCTACAGAGTGTAAATAGTGATCAATACTAAATGAAGAAAATGAAAGTTGATTCTCTGCAATTAAGGAAGCTAGTTCCCGAGTTCTCATTATTTTCACAACCATATTCCCAGTTATTAAGTTTTATCATCTAAAAATACACATGAAGCTCTGGGGTCATGATAGGCAGGAAGATGGCATCTGCCAGCAGGGTCATGCAGGTGGTGAAGCCACATACACCATTAATAAGGTTTCCTGACAGAAGAGACGATCCTAAACCCAGTGTATCAGAAGCTTTGAGGTCAGCAGGGCTGCCATTCCATTCTTCTGCAGTTTCACAGCATTCTAAGGGAAGTAAGTCACCAGATCTGCTGATGTTTCAGGGTCCACCAGACATGGCAGAAATAATAAAAACTTTACCTCAGAAATACAGAAGGAGGGACCAGTAGTTAGCGTAATGGCTATGTCGCTGAGTGCCCATGTAGTTGACCACAGTTTGAGTCCCGGACCCAGTGGCTTAAACTCATGCCGGGCACATATGCGTGCTTGCCCAAGATCCCTAGAGGAGAATGGAGGAGAAGGGATTGCAGTGTGGCCATCCCCCCCTGGGGGGTGATTTTTTGCTTTCTGTCTCTCTCTCTCTCTTTCTGGTGAGCGCACGACCCTATAGCAAAAACCTCCCCCCCCGCCCAAAAAAAAAGAAATACAGAAGGAAACTGGTGACTTAAGAAGAAATTGAATTTATCCAGCATGGTGGTCTAGAGTAACCACTGTGGCTGCTGTTTTCATCAGAAAGAAGAATCATCTTTACAATGAAGGACTTCCAAAATGACAAATGAGAAATTGTATATTAAACAATTTACTTTAATAAATACTCTGTAAAAAAAAGAAAAAATAATAAAAATACACTTGAAGAAACAGACTTACAACTTTTCTCTTGAGCTCATTTTATTTATTTTATTTATTTTTATTTTTGGCTTCTTGTTTTAAGCATTTAAATAATCTGTTTTCAGTGTGGGTTATCAATAGCCTAATGAAAGTAAGGGAATTACAGCTAACCTTTTTTTTTTTTTAAGAGAGATTTTTGCTATAGGGTATATGCACTTGCTGGAGAGACAGAGAGACAGAAAGCAAGAAATCACCCTCCCTGTGGGGATGGCCACACTGCAATCCCTTCTCCTCCATTCTCTCAGGATTTGGGGCATGCACATGCTCCTGGCATGAGTTTAAGCTGCTGAGTCTGGGACTCAAACCATGGTTGACTATGTGGGAGTTCAGTGATGTAACCATTATACCATCTACTGATCCTATCTAACCTATTCTCATTATTTATGTTTTTGCAAGTTAACAGTGTTAGCAGGATTAACAATGACTGGGATAAACCAGAATTACATAGACTACTGGAAGTGAGACTTGACTCCTTCCCTTCCTACCCTTTCTCCTATTCTAGAGGGGCCTGGGAGAAAGTGCAGTGTTTGCTGAATTTCCGTGGCTGAAATACTCCCTGAAATACTATGGCTGGTTCCAACTGCCAACTTGACCTCGTTGAACATGAAGTAGGGTAGAGATGGGTACCATCATCTCTCTTGAGCTGGTTCTAGCTGATTCCAGCATGTTCACAGTGGTTTTAATAGTTTTGTCTTTTCTCCTTTCTCTCTGTTACTGGGTTTGATTAGGCTCAGACTATAATGGCTGATGCACTGTATCCAGTTGGAAGAAGTATCTTCTTCAGATGCCACTGTAATTTGAATATAAATGTATAAATTTTACACATAATTTGAATATAAAGGTATTCGAATAGAATAGGAATCTCTTCTGTCCACTTTGTAATAGCTCACACTAAGGCCACCTGGCTCCTGAAGCATTTGGATTTGTGACTCTTGGTGTAGACCATGGCCATGTTTCATCCTGCTATTTCTTGCCTGGTATCACCTACACACTTCTGTCGCTGTTCTCATTGCTTGCTGTTGGGAACATTGGTATATCCTCTCTCCTCCTATGTGAAGAGCTTTGTTTTTGATTCTGAATCCTAAGAGTTTAACAAATAGCTGCTAAATACTAGATCCTCAGAAATGTCAATGAATATATGAATGAATAGACAAAGCATGATGCAAAGCCTTAGTACTTTTTAAGAAATAATTCCTTTGAGGGACCAGTAGTTATCATAATGGCTATGTCGCTGGACTCCCATGTAGTTGACCACGGTTCGATTCCCGGGCCCAGTGGCTTAAACTCACTCCCGGTGTATGTGTGTGCATGCCCAGGATCCTGAGAGGAGAAAGGAGGAGAAGGGATTGAGGCATGGCCATTTCCCCTGGAGGGTGATTTCTTGGTTTCTGTCTTTCTGGCAAGTGCATGCTCACTATAGCAAAAAACCTCTCAAAAAAAAAAAATTCCTTTGAAATTTGAACGTTCTCTTGACTATTTCAAGATACTTAAAAATTAAACAATAGCTGAATTAAAATATTATGCATTAGATAACACCCACTTTTATTTCATCTACTAGTACCATTTTTGCCCACATTAGATACAAATATCCAACTTGGGCCAGCTGGTGGCTAGTGGTTAAGGCTGCAGGATCCCACGTGGCTCACTGCATGGTTTGAGCCCTGGCCCTGGTGGTTTGAGAAACAAGCCAGGTATGTGTGTATGAGTACCCAAAATCCCGAGAAGAGAATGGAAGTGAAAAGATTACAGTGTGGCCATCATCCCAAGGGTGGGCTTACTCACCTTCTCTCTCCTTTTGTTCTCTGTTGAGCACATGTGCCCTACAGCAAATTTTAAAATAATCCAGTTTTAGAAATAGCTATATTATCTGATATCTAATAAGCAAATCCATAAATAAGATCGTGCAATTATTGTACTAATAATGTGTTATATTTTATAGCATTTTACAGATTTCTGAGTTGTGATTTTATTCTTTCTTTTAATGATAGATCATAAAACTTTATTGAACTACAAATTTTTAAAGAATTATTTATTTCATTTTATTTAGTATTATTATTATTTTAATTTGCTATAGGACATGTGTGCTCACAAGAAAGAGAGAGAAAGAAAGAGTGAGAAAGCAAGCCACCAGGCTTGGGACTCAAACTGTGGTCAATCATGTGGGAGTCCAGTGCCTTAACTACTGTGCCGCCTGCTGGTCCCTGAGCTATAGTTATAAGCCAAGCATTGTGTTGAATGCTAGGTATACAGTGGTGAGAAGAATATAAAATGAGAGATAAGGAAGGTGATAAAATGGGGGGAGAGTACATCCTAACCCAAATTTGGAAGGTGGCTTGTTAGAGCTCTGAGGGATGAGGAAGAGCTAGGCAAACAACACATGGGGGAAGGGCTGTCCTGGCAGAGGAATCAGTATGTGCAAAAGCTTGAGTTGGCAAGGAGACTGGTGCATTCAAAATAGGCAAGAAGATGGTTAAGGCAATGGGCTCCCACATGACCGCCCCTGGTTGGAGTCCCAGACCTAGTAACTTGCTTTCTCATTCTCTCTCTCTCTCTCTCTCTCTCTCTCTCTCTCGTGAGCACACATGCCCTGTAGCAAATAAAATAATAATAATAAAAAATACAGTTAAATAATAATTTTTTTAAATGGGAAAGCAAAATAAAAACAGGCAAGAAGGCCGGTGTGGTTACCACAGACTGAGGAGTAAGAGGACAGGTTGATTTTGAAGCAGTAGCTGGGAGTCTTTCATGTGGGAAGAAGGACCTAACAGACCAATATAAGGAGTTTGGATTTAATTAAATGCAGTGATCAAGAAAATTGACAAATAATTGGACTAACCAAGAGAAGACTCAAAGTCTTTTTTAAAAAATTCTTTTTTGAGAGGTTTTTGCTATAGGGCACGTGCACTAGCCAGAAAGACAGAGAGAGACAGAGAGACAGAAAGCGAGAAACCACCTCCCAGCAGGGATGGCCATGCCGTAATCCCTTCTTCCCCATTCTCCTCTTGGGATCTTGGGCTTGCACACACATGTGCCTGGTGTGAGTTTAAACCACTGGGTTTGAGACTCGAACCATGGTTGACTACATAGGAGCCCAGCGACATAGCCATTACACCAACTAGTGGTCCCAGAAAGACTCAAATTCTAGCTGCTGAGTCTGGGACTCAAACCATGGTTGACTATGTGGGAGTTCAGTGATGTAACCATTATACCATCTACTGATCCTATCTAACCTATTCTCATTATTTATGTTTTTGCAAGTTAACAGTGTTAGCAGGATTAACAATGACTGGGATAAACCAGAATTACATAGACTACTGGAAGTGAGACTTGACTCCTTCCCTTCCTACCCTTTCTCCTATTCTAGAGGGGCCTGGGAGAAAGTGCAGTGTTTGCTGAATTTCCGTGGCTGAAATACTCCCTGAAATACTATGGCTGGTTCCAACTGCCAACTTGACCTCGTTGAACATGAAGTAGGGTAGAGATGGGTACCATCATCTCTCTTGAGCTGGTTCTAGCTGATTCCAGCATGTTCACAGTGGTTTTAATAGTTTTGTCTTTTCTCCTTTCTCTCTGTTACTGGGTTTGATTAGGCTCAGACTATAATGGCTGATGCACTGTATCCAGTTGGAAGAAGTATCTTCTTCAGATGCCACTGTAATTTGAATATAAATGTATAAATTTTACACATAATTTGAATATAAAGGTATTCGAATAGAATAGGAATCTCTTCTGTCCACTTTGTAATAGCTCACACTAAGGCCACCTGGCTCCTGAAGCATTTGGATTTGTGACTCTTGGTGTAGACCATGGCCATGTTTCATCCTGCTATTTCTTGCCTGGTATCACCTACACACTTCTGTCGCTGTTCTCATTGCTTGCTGTTGGGAACATTGGTATATCCTCTCTCCTCCTATGTGAAGAGCTTTGTTTTTGATTCTGAATCCTAAGAGTTTAACAAATAGCTGCTAAATACTAGATCCTCAGAAATGTCAATGAATATATGAATGAATAGACAAAGCATGATGCAAAGCCTTAGTACTTTTTAAGAAATAATTCCTTTGAGGGACCAGTAGTTATCATAATGGCTATGTCGCTGGACTCCCATGTAGTTGACCACGGTTCGATTCCCGGGCCCAGTGGCTTAAACTCACTCCCGGTGTATGTGTGTGCATGCCCAGGATCCTGAGAGGAGAAAGGAGGAGAAGGGATTGAGGCATGGCCATTTCCCCTGGAGGGTGATTTCTTGGTTTCTGTCTTTCTGGCAAGTGCATGCTCACTATAGCAAAAAACCTCTCAAAAAAAAAAAATTCCTTTGAAATTTGAACGTTCTCTTGACTATTTCAAGATACTTAAAAATTAAACAATAGCTGAATTAAAATATTATGCATTAGATAACACCCACTTTTATTTCATCTACTAGTACCATTTTTGCCCACATTAGATACAAATATCCAACTTGGGCCAGCTGGTGGCTAGTGGTTAAGGCTGCAGGATCCCACGTGGCTCACTGCATGGTTTGAGCCCTGGCCCTGGTGGTTTGAGAAACAAGCCAGGTATGTGTGTATGAGTACCCAAAATCCCGAGAAGAGAATGGAAGTGAAAAGATTACAGTGTGGCCATCATCCCAAGGGTGGGCTTACTCACCTTCTCTCTCCTTTTGTTCTCTGTTGAGCACATGTGCCCTACAGCAAATTTTAAAATAATCCAGTTTTAGAAATAGCTATATTATCTGATATCTAATAAGCAAATCCATAAATAAGATCGTGCAATTATTGTACTA